ATTGGTTTTCGTTGACTTGTGTCGGTCTCCCCCTTTTACATAAAATTTCCGTTAGGGGGATAGACGTTTATTTCCACTTTTTGAATGGACCTACAAAAGGAAACCGGCTGCTCCGTTGGGAATACCGACTCAAAGGATTTTTTGAGAAAACAGGACGTGGCTGGTCACGTGATGCAGTTACAAACAATTTTTTACACGAAATTGAAAGATTTCTAGGTTATGATTGGCCTTGAAACTACCTTACATCTCTATAATATTTAAAAATTCGGAGAAGTCTGTACAGACCCAAGCCTTAATCTACTTGAGAAGTTAGGAATCTTAAGTAAAGATCAGCTCTAACAATTCCACATTGACTGTTATGTTTTTAGGCGTGTTGCCCGACTTTGTTTGCTGGGTCGTCTCTCCCTTCTTGAACTCCAAAACGGGTATGTTACACCCGTTGCTGCGCGTCACATTAACTTCAAAACTATCTGTGCCAAACAGAAGGCAAATAGTTAATAAATGTAACTAGCACGTCGTTTCAATAGCAATGATGATAACTTGATTTCTTAGTTTTGGTGCTTCGCGCTCAATCTAAGTGCTTCATCTAAGTGCGTTCAGTTTTAAAGATGTTACGACTGAAAACAGATGTTATGGTGTAGCAAACGCTTTGAAGCATCATAGTTATGACCAGAACTTCTTACAGCAACAAGTATTTCAAGGGTATTTTGCAGCAAATTTCAGCACAATGATAACTTTACATGTTTAACTGTTCGTAGCGGGTTAATCGAGTTAATTATACGAGCGTCAAATCATATCTTCTGCATCGTAAGATCACTTGTAAAATTCCATAAAATTTCACATAATTTTGAAATCTTAAAACAATCTAACAAACACACCGTTCCACTATCCTCTTCGCCTTCACTGTCCCCTATCATTTGTTCAGTGCACACCCGTTTTTCTGTCTACAAAGATAGAATGAGTATGCGTTAAAATGATTGGATGTTAGCCAAATAATTAAATTCTGAATACCAAGCACACAGGATTCGCTGGTCACTGATGAAGAGCTGTTTTTTAGCTATAATATATAGTATAAGACACAAAGTTTTTTGATTACTCGAGTGTCAGGTTCAGAAGCTTCCAGTCTTCTCTTTCTCACCTACAATATAACACATAATGCAAGTTGGTGACTGTAAATACAACTTCACCCAACTCATCTTGTCACAGGTTGGCGATTTTATCACTTCCTGTTTCGCGCTCTCAGATGTCTCTGGTGAAGGCACTTTGAAGCCCAGTGAAACAAGTGAATGAACGTGTGAACGACTAATATGTAAAACATACCAAGGCACTGTCCACCACTGTGGTATCTTGAGCTCCATCATCCTTGTTAAGAAGATTCCTGTGCAGCAAAACATTGTAAAATACACGTTATTTCTTAAAGTGCCTTTTTATAAGTTTATCTCAATGAAAACATTCCTATGTGAGCAAAGTGTATTGTGCCATAACAAAAGAATTTGCTTCCCATCCTAACCGGATCATTACTTAATTCTCACTTCCTGTGTAATCAAAAAGGCTAAATACCTTACAGAAGGTCTTAACTAACAGCCATGTCTACTTTAATTGGAGGAGTTACTCTCAGGTGGCCACTTAAGGTAGTGTGGCTATGTGTAAGTTACTTTTCTGCTCCATTCCAGATAATAGGGACAAATTACCTCTGCGCACAGGAGAGCCCATACAGCATCAAGGGCATCCTCCACTGCCCCTTGTATTCTTTCGAAATTGATTTCTCTCCCTACAATTTAAATTAAGACAGATAATGGCAGTGACAACTTATTTACTGTTTTTCCATATGTTAATTAACTATCAAAGACATTTTCTGGGTGAAAATGTCACTTATGTCCAGAAATGCATGCAATGGCGAAAATGGCGAAACTGGCGAAATGAATTTTTGTTTATAGTTTGGCGATTTTGGCGACTAATTGCCATTTCTGCCATTTTCGCCAATGCGTGCATTTCTGGACATATCTCGAAAAGGTCAGATAAGAACAAAAAGCATGCAATCATTCATGAGAACACAATCACTACAATACATGTAGTTATAAAAGCCTAAACTGTATATTAAAATAAACTATTTACCTGTCAGTATGTCCCCCACCACCATCTTTGAGGGGGACATCGTTGGTTGGAGCACCCTTAATTCGATATGTTCCATCTTTGTTTTGCCTTTTTAATTTTCACATACTGAGAAGAGACAAAACAAATGCATCTTAAATGCGACGGGGGAATAAGGAGAGTAAAGGACATCAACAAACTTAGAGATAAACTTCATGTCTTCAAACTAGGAGAGAGCTAAAGCAGGGATGTACCTAGCGATAAGAGGCGGGGAGGAGGGAGGGCATGGGTAATTATCACCACTACTATCCCTTTTTTTCTCAGATAGAAATACATAGAGGATATTACACGGTGGCGCGAAGATGTGAATTTTATTTTCCAGTGGCAAAACAATATTTTACGAACGAGCGCAGCGAGTGAGTAAAATATTGTTTTTGCCACGAGAAAATAAAATTCATATCTTCAAGCCGCCGTGTAATGTTCTTTTTATTATATAGACAAAAAGACGTCGATAAAATAATAGAATATTATTCGCCAAAGAGTAATTGTGACAGCTCAAATTTACAGTGCAGCAATATAAGACATGGTTTACAATAATCTTGAGAAATAACACTCAGCTGAATAGGGCTCTACAATGACAAAATATAAGCAAAGCTTTGAAAAATGTGTAAGTAAAACTCAAGAGACGCAGAACGCTTACAAATTTCGAAGGGAAATTACCGAAATTACGTCATCGATAAACTCACGTGTGAGATTATGGAAAATAAACCACTCGGGTCCCGGATGTAGTTTTTATGAATTTTAAGAGTGGTATATTTTCCAGTAAAACACTCGTGTCTATATAATAAAACATGATATAACACATCAAGAAGAATGAAAAAGTAATCTTTCTATAGTCTTGGGCAGCCCTTCCATGATATATCATTCTCACATTGTTTTCTTTCACTCGTTAGTATCAGATTAAGAGAACTGTGGCTTTAAGATAATAATAATTATTATGACCTTAAACTACTTACATTCATCATTAAACCTTCACCCAACCCTTGCCACATAAATGTGGCACTTGTTTAAGGTGTTGACGCAAGTATCAGACATCATGATATTTCTGTAATAATTGCAAAAAATATATAAGTTCGTTATACCTTTCAGATAAGAGGAAAAAAGGTGCTAAATTAAATTTGTGTATGGCTCCTGTCTCATCACTGTATTAGGCTTAACCTGTCAATGACCAGTCTGACTTGTTTCCAGTGCCGAGAATAATTAAAATTTATACATTAAGTTAATCGTGACTGTACTCTACTAACCTTATTAGTTGTACTGCCCCATCAGTCAACTTGCTTGTACGGACCTCAGCAAACCTACTAATGCTTTGACCAATTTTTGCACAACGATACCGGAAACTCGTAGAGAAACCGAAAAAATAAATATATTATAGTCTTTTACCGTATAAGCCCAGCGCATGCGATTACTGAAACTGCTAGCTGTCGTGAAACTGAAATGTTGCTTTGATAAACTTGTTGGAGATGATCCTTAACAAAACAAAGGGACAGGGAATTTATTTTGCCACAAGAAACTATTAAAGATAATGCCCTGGGAGAAAATGAAAGATTATAACATCGAGGACTTGTTCTCTGTGTCAGCTGTCGATAGTTAATTTAATTCGTTTATTTTTGTGTCCTGACGAGTTCTTAGTACCGAGAAAACCCCCTTCACACAAGAGATATATGAGGTATTGTCTTGTTCGGCACTTCCTGTTTAGAGTTATCTGGCCATGTGATAGACAGCCACGTCCCAAACTAATGAGATTGTCAATTACAGCCTCACATGTGGCAGTGCAACATTAATTTGTTGATTTGAATAAACTTCCTTAATATTGTTATAAGACTCGCTAAACAAGGCGAGAAGGATGGAAAAACAGAAAACGCAAACTGACATTTCAGCTGATTCTAAACAAAAACACAATTAGACTTTAAATCCGACTTCCCCTTTTCCCCTTTTTTCCACAGAATTGCCCTGTAATTCTTTTTTCCCCCGCAGTGACCTCAACCGCAGGTTTCGAAAGGTTTATTTAAGTACTCTATCGCTAAACGGTCGAGTAATCGCACAAAAATTCTTTTTTGTTATTGAGGTTAATTGTATGTAGTTAGTTCGTGGCAAGAAGGGTTTTTGCTTGAAGTAAGATGTCTACTCATATTTATTTGTACAAATTCACCCAGTTGACTTGTAACTAAGCCCTCATTTGCAGAATAAAAATAGCGCACGCAACTATAGTAGGTTCGAAAGTATGTAACCACGTGCACTGTCATAACCGTTTTTAACATTTTTATGCAAGAATACAAACAGCCAACAGCTGCAAGTATTTAAGTAACGTTACGTCATGCGCGGCTTTTTGCCAACGGGCTGATCCGCGTCCTGATTGGTCACTCGGGTGTTAAAAAACAGGATGACACGCTTCTTACTGCGTCCACGCTTACCGTGTTGCGGAGTTCCATTGCTTTTTTGCCACGCGTTTTCGGTGAAAACTGTGAGTATGGATTCCTTTAACTGACTCATGATTACAATAATCTCCATAATGATTTCCGTTTTATAAACTTCCATGCCGGGGCCACACCTTACATCATGCTCTATCTATTTCGTGTTATGCTTCATTCGCAAATTTTAAGTTTGAGCTTATAACAAATGATTTGCAAATTTACTAAGTAGTCCAATGGCGTTTTAGCTCGGGCTGAGGTTAGCTCTCCCTAATCGGAGTCTTGCCAATAACTGGTTCTCTCCGAGATAAAATGCTTGAAAAACGCATTATCCAAATCACGCTGCATTCTCTTCGGTGCCTAACCTAAACTGTTGAACGAAACATTTTCAGGAAGCACCAACGTAAAGAGCTTCGCCTTCGCGACTGGCTCGAAGACATGATCGATACGGGCTTGTTTGTTTTTTTAAAATGGGAAGAAGACCCGACGATGCCAACCTTTCGAATCCCTTGGAAACACGGCTCTCGGCATGGCTGGTCTGAAAAAGATGATGCCGCTTTATTTAGAGTCTGGGCCACATCTACAAAAAAAAACAAAGATCCTCGAAAGTGGAAGATAAATTTTAGATGTGCTTTGAATGCCTTACCAGATATTAAGGAGATTCGCGAAGAGAGTTGTCCCCGTGGAAAGGATGCTTACAAGATTTACAAAATGCGTTCAGTTCGAGGAAGAGGTAAGGGATTTGGAATCCAAAGATGCTTAGCTCGCTGTTAGCGACGTAATGATATTATAGTTAGAGAAAGATGTTAGCGTTTTCCATTCTCTGTCTCCATGTTTCTTTCGGCCTATACAAACAAAGCATGTCTTGTTTGCAAATAGTTGCTAACGAACTCAGAGCTAAAGCTAATAAAATAACGACCAGGGAAATTCGTAAAGAGTAGACCCAGAGTGGTATGGTGCGCATTCAGGGAAAGCATACTCTCTTAGCGGTTTCACGGACCAAAATCTGAGCTATATTGGCACTGACGGGTTTTAATATTACAAGATCACAGAGCAATTTGTTTCTTCAAGTCAACAATTTTGCAATAAGTCTGGCGTAATCATAAACGTATCGCTGCAAAGAACGAACAAAACTTTACCTCACATAGACAGAGTCAATGTCGAATTAGACGAGGAGACAAATGAGACAATTATATTGTATAAATGCGATTTTAAGGAACAGCGGTCAACCATCAATATCAACTATCGATAGTGGTAAATTAATGAGACAAAGTATTTGCCACACGCCATGAGATCAATATACAACAGATTTCAACTTGAATTCTTCGGTTCTCATTCACGGGATCGTTTGAACCCAGGACATTTCAAGAGTCGCTTGAACTTCTCGTTCAATCAGTTGAAATGCTAAAAGACTACGAGGTTAGAAATGTAGATTTGATGAAGCGCAAAGCTCTTAAATGCCAGTACAATACATCTCTAGTTGGCGCAGACTTTTAAGACTTCATATCAATCCAGATGTAAGATCAAAAGAATGTTTGTTTGTTGTATACATTGCATTTCCATGACTTGTGGTGGTATGTACAATAACCTCTCATACAAATACATTTCGGCAATGGACTGGACGTTTTTCTTAACCAAGACTCTGTGCTACCGATAACTTCGTTAACGGTCATTTCTGAGTTACGTTCTACTGAAATGATTAAAAACAAATTCAAAAGAACCACTTTGTACTAGAACTTGTCTTTTCCCGTATAATCTGACAGGAGAAAAACAAACACGAATAGAAAGTTAAACTTTTATGGCTCCATTAATCGCATTCCTGCCTTATTTGAAAGTAGCAGAAATCCACTTAGTTACTTTCTAAACGGATGCAGTATCAAATTCTACTGACAGCGGTTGTCTTTCAAACATGGCTGCCATATGGGACATTTCTGTAATTTAAGTCGGTTTCAGCCTACTACCATTCGGTAGAGCAGGCAGGGCGCAAAATCAGAAAAAAAAAAAAAAAAAAAAGAATCACACCTCCATACTAAGTTGCTCTGATTCAATTAACAATTAGTTCATGCGGCAGCGTGCGTATGTCGAGATATTGAGCACGCGGGAAGTTTGGAGAGCACGAAAGAGGCGTAAGAGTTGCACGAGGCGCAGCCGAGTGCAACTCTAGCCTTTTGAGTGCTCTCCAAACTTCCCAAGTGCTCAATATCTCGACATACGCACAGCTGCAGCATGAACTAATTGTTTTATAACATTATCAAAGCGATCAATGCAGCAGTTAACTGAAAATTTTATTTTTGTAGGGCGCGCTCAAAGCAGTACGCGTTAATGATTACGTGACTATATTTTTTTTCCTCACAGTTAATCTTATGTTTTTATCCTGAAACTGAGAGAAAGTGTACTCTAAAATGATTGCAAAATCCATATTTAGGTGCCGGAAAACTTTTAATTTACCGAAAAATTGTTATTGAGAGAAAACAACTTTGCAAAGAATGATCTCACGCCATAGCCCGCACAGCTCGCCGAGATGACAACAACAACAACAACACTCACCTCTTTTCCTTACTATCGGTTAACAAATTCAAACCTTTCCTCTTAAATTTCCTTATAAAACACATGGTAAACGCTTCATTGTCTATTGCTGAGTTATGGATGCACTCGGGAGACTCAGGATTGCTAAGCTCCCAACAACTCGAGGAATTACGAATAGTTTATTGACGTCATCAGCGTGCTCAATAGGAATATGAAGCACGCTCGCGCTATTGAATTTGATTAGGCGAATTTTCTAGCTATGTTATAATTTGAATTTGTTCATATCCCACTTGTCTCCTCGTCTCACCGGTTGTTTTACAGTTAGGTGGTCGGCTTTCGCGTTTCTGTTATATGAATTTAGAGCGTGACTCATTTACGTCCTTCGTAAAGCAATATCATGCGTGCACGTACTTTCCGGTAGTTCTCTTTGTTATGCTGTACCTGAGGTATGTGCAGCACTAATAGTTTTTAACTTGTAGATGGAACAATAAAATGTCACCATTCAAATCTGCACGTGTTTTTAGTATTTTTGTAACGTCTAAAAAACGGCTCTATGTTTTTGGTCGATGTGAAATCCTTACAACCATTTTCCGTTCAAATTAATGTGAGTCGTACTCTCCCGTGCAGTGCTGATGAAGTGATGGATGGCGTATAAAATTTTTCAATCTGTCGAAGAAATGAATCATAATCGATAGTAAACTCATACAAAAACTTACAAATAGCAGTTATTTCGGGATGTTTGAGTTTTGGTCAATTATTAGAACGAACGAAAATCAAAGAAAATTACTTAATGAATTTATGGGCATGACACAAAGGGGCACGCAGGACTGTCTAAGGCTTATCTCTCTTACAACAAAAAGGACGATTTGAACCAGACAGAAAATAACCTCAGTCACGTCTGTTTCACATCCTTTCCATAATACAAAATGTTTGAAACAAGAGTGGATTTTTCCATTTTTTGCACGAACGATGACCTTGAACCAGCGAAATGCTTGTACCTTAGTGCCAACCGTTTTTCGATGGCTTAAAAAAATGGAATTCAAATTTCATTTTTAGTTTTCGTTTTTCTTCGACCATTCTTCATTCCATTCCATTCTTCCATTTCAATGCGTGTACCTTAGTGCCAACCGTTTTTCGATGGCATGGGGAAAGGGAATTCAAGTGCCATTTCCATTTTTCGCTTTCGCATGACATTGAAAAACAGATTTGAATTTTGCTTTTTGTTTTTCGTTTTCGACTAACTTTGAAAAACGGTTTTGAACTTCGTATTTCGTTTCCGCATCTCTTTAAAAAACGGATATGAATTTCAGTTTTCGTTTTTCGTTTTCGCATCACTTTGAAAAACGGATATGAATTTCGTTTTTCCTTTTTCGTTTTCGCATTACTTTGAAAAACGGATTTGATTTTCGTTTCTCGTTTTCTTATCACTTTGAAAAACAGATCTGAATTTCGTTTGTCATTTTTGCACAATCATTTGAAGTCCACAAATGCGTGTACCTTAGTGCCAACCGTTTTTCGATGGCATGGGAAAATGGAATTCAAATGCCATTTCCATTTTTCGTTTTCGCATGACATTGAAAAACAGATTTGAATTTTGCTTTTTGTTTTTCGTTTTCGCATCACTTTGAAAAACGGACATGAATTTCATTTTTCGTTTTTCGTTTTCGCATCACTTTGAAAAACGGATAATAAGGTGGCTGAACACAGTTTTGGTAGTTTGTGAGTATATGTCATTTGCCAAACCATGGCAAGAGAACCATTTATACGAGCATATAAGGAGTGTCTTAGCTAAGTCCCGTTTTATTTACGTCTCGAACACATTTTTTGTGCCACTTATAGGAGAAGTTAACTAGACGCGTCTTATTTTTCCCCGTTCAAGTGGCCCAATTGTTTAATAACTTATGATGTAGTAATTTGTTGTATCCTGGAAATGACGACAAGAAAGACACTTTCCGAGGGGGTGTGGGCTTCAAATGATTGTGCAAAAATGACAAACGAAATTCAGATCTGTTTTTCAAAGTGATAAGAAAACGAGAAACGAAATTCAAATCCGTTTTTCATAGTAATGCGAAAACGAAAAAGGAAAAACGAAATTCATATCCGTTTTTCAAAGTGATGCGAAAACGAAAAACGAAAACTGAAATTCATATCCGTTTTTCAAAGAGATGCGAAAACGAAATACGAAGCTCAAAACCGTTTTTCAAAGTTAGTCGAAAACGAAAAACGAAAAGCAAAATTCAAATCTGTTTTTCAATGTCATGCGAAAACGAAAAATGGAAATGGCACTTGAATTCCCTTTCCCCATGCCATCGAAAAACGGTTGGCACTAAGGTACACGCATTAACTCAGATTATCATTTTTCATTTTTCAATTTTCAGAAAAAATGAATGACCCTAACGTACACGCATTGTTTGCTACACTATAACATCTGTTTTCAGTCGTAACATCTTTAAAACTGAAGACATTTTGAATAATTACGCCCCCTTGACAATTATGACTCTGTTTTATTAAACTCAAAGTATTTCTTTCGGAATACTCACTTTCACCACTCCGAAAAATACATATGGATGAAAACTAAACTTATCACTATTTAAAAAGTCTAAAAGGTATAGAAGACTTATAAAATAGCATTTTTACACTCAGTGCACAATACAGATGAAAACCGAAGGCTGAATGTCTTATAACTATTGAAAACTGTTAAATTTATTGATACTTACAATAATAACCGAAAAATCAAATAAATTCACTGTTTGATTCTTAACAGTACACGAATAGGAAGGACTGTCTTTTCATATCTCGTTCACTTTGATTGCACCCCTAGTAATATCCGCCTTTTTTGCGAGAAACTGGTTTGAATTAATTATCACAAAGAAGTTCAAAGAACGCAATTGCACTGCCGTTGTCTAATAATTACGCCCAGCGAGCAATGTGCCTGAAATGTACATTTACGCGTATTGTTTTCTTCATTTGCACATTTTAGGCAACGCGCAGAGGTTTGGTCTTGCACACATTCCTGGAAGCCAGATGGCCAAAATAAGAAATGTATATCCACCCAGTTTGAGCCCAGGCCAAGCTTTGAGATGTGGGGCCGTAAGTGGCGACTGTTCTGCCGAAGACGAGGAGGCAGCATCCAGTACGGCCTTGAAAATGAAGAGGGAGACAGACCTATCCACTTGTCAGTGAGGTACGTTTGCATGCAGCAAATTCTTAAAGGGACACACCGTCCTGTCTGAAATTTATATTATACTCTGTAAACCTTAAGTGGCGCAGTGGGGGCTAGGGGATAAGGGGATGGGAGTGGGACGTCTGTGTTGCGACCTTTTCAGCTAACTCGATTTTTCTCTCTTTGCAGTTTCATCGTCGAGAGCAGCAGTGGGGGTAAAGAAGTATATAACATACCCGTTTTGGAGTTCAACAAGGGGGAGATGACCGAGCAAACTAAGACGGGCAGTATGCCTAAAACCATAACGGTCAATATGGAATTGTCAGAGCCGAGCTTTACAAAAGATTCATAACTTCTCAAGTAGAGGCCTGGGTCTAAACAGACTTCTCAGAATTTATAAATATTTCAGTGATGTAAGGTAGTTTCAAGGCCGATCATAACTTAGAAGTCTTTCAATGTCATGTATAGTTAGAAATTGCCTGTAACTTCATCACGGGACCAGCCATGTCCTGTTTTCTCCTCATATGAATTTCAAAGAAAAAAGTTCCCGGGGGGATTAACAGAGGATTTGCGATATTAACCTAACTGTTTGGCGTTTTGCATAGGTTTTGCTTGTTTTTGACCCCTAAGGATTGGAACTTCGCCTGGGCGCAAACTGGGTGGATATACTTTTCTTATTTTGGCCATCTGGCCTCCAGGAATGTGTGCAAGATCAAACCTTTGCGTTCTGGTGTTGCCTAAAATGTGCCTAAAATGTGAAAGTGAAGAATTACGGAGGTTCCGGTTATCGGTTCCGGTTATATACAAAAGCATATTTTGATTGTGTTTCCTGTAGGAATAAAATGTCATATGAATTAGCAAGATGACGTGCGAGTAATAATTCCAGGGGTTTCTCATGGTTTCCGACCTTCGGTCCTGCACTATGTTGTCAACACTTCCTTTGTTTTATATTGCGCAATCGGTCAATTCAGATGACCGTCGTACACGTATCCAAGGCTTGCGGGTCATCATGCGTTGTCCCCGCGAAATGTTAGGTCACGTGGTCACTTTTCGACCAATAACAGTCGTTTTCGTTTCTCCTGAACCACCTTTTCTAGAACCATACCATCTTGATCATCATTTCGGATGCTACTCTGAACGGATATTGAAGTAGACTAAAGGGATGGGCGGTTTTTAGCTGTACAACCCAAACCAAACTATTCACTGGCCAATCACAACAGGTGCACGCACAGTCTCATTTCCAGAGTCCCCGTTACCCTTGTCCTGCGGGACGCCGATCCGCTAGGCAAGGGCAACGTGGGTTCTGGGAAGAAGGTTGATGGAGACAATCAAATGAACCAAGGGCAAAGCAAGTACATAAAGCGCCGGAAATGACACGTAAGTAAGTAAAGGGGGAATGCTCTTAATTTCACTATTAACTGGTTTTGGTTTAGTCAATAGGCCTTTTGTAATAGCACGGGACGAAAAAAACGGATTTACCGAACGTCAAAGGTGAAGTCAAACGGGCGATAAAGGCCACCTTTGCACACCTTTGTACAACTTTGACGCGCGACAAATGTTTACCTTTGCTCGCGGTCAAAGGCGAGTCTTCAGGCGATAAAGGCCGTTTTTGTCACGCCTTTAACCCCTACCTTTGACGCGCGTCAAAGGTATATTTCATTAGCATTTGCACCCCTATCAAAGGCGTCGTCAAATATGTCTGAGATTCAGGCCAAAGGTGTGACAAAAGCGCGGTAAAGTTATGTCTGTGATTAAAGTCAAAGGCTTGTGAAAAGTGTGGTCAAATGTGTCTGAGCCTCAGGTCAAATGTGTGACAAAGTTGTCGTCAAATGCGTCAGAAATTTAAGGCAAAGGTTTTACAAAGGTGTTGCCAAATATGTTTGGTTTTTTTCCTCCCCTCGCATCGCGCCTCTCGCTCGTCTCGCGCTTCGCGTGAATTCCGCGTTCGCCTCGCGCTTCGCGCGAATGCCGCGTTATTGCCTCGCTAGTCATAAGCGCTTGATATACTGGCTAGAATCCAACTTGAAATTTCAATCAAATTCAATTGCGACCTAGATACCGTTTAAAAAGGTGGACAGATAAGAGACTGAGTTTTTAATCTTGTACTTTATTGTCCTAAAACCTCATTAGATGATTAGAAAGCTGAATAATTCAAAAATGATTTTTTAAAACCTTTTCACGATTTATTGTCTAAAGTTCTCATTGCAGTCTGTCAATGGACAATCATAATGACTGCCGCAAATTTTTGAAGCACTATAAATGTTCCAGATACACGCTGTTGTCAAGGACGGCAAACTGCAAAATAGTTTAAAACACTTCTTTCACGCAAGCCAGTGCAAAAATCATGGTAAGTAAGAAATGTTCTTGATCAGGAGCCCATCTGTCTTGATGTTATCTTTGCGAAGATTTTCATTCTAGAAAGCTTTTGATTCTTGATGCAAGTGAAAGACAAACGCCATGTATCTAACTTCAATCCTCCTCTGTTGTGTGTTTCGTTCCATTGGAGACTTATCACTTTGCCTTGTTTCTTTTATCTGTGAAATAATTGTAAAATAATATAGCAATTTGAGATAAAAAATTCAGTCATAGTGTTTTAAATAAATTTTTCGGCCCCACTCCCTTTTTACTATCGCTCCTTTTCTGCAGAAAATCCCCCTTTCTCTTTACCTTTATCAAAACTTAAAGACCCGGTTAAAAATGTGTAGCGAACCTAATGCTTTTGAATGGGAACATTACATTTCGTGTACATGCATTGTCATTAAGTTCGTCATTTGTGCCTTTGACGTTTGAATCGAGCCTTATTATCACTTAATAAAGTCCAGGAAAATTCAATCAAAATTTCCGTCTATGCCCAAAGCTTAAAATTAAACTAAAGAAACACTTTATATTATACCTAACCTGCATAACAAGCGTTTCCAATAGATTTATTACGCGAGTTAGCCCCTCCCTGTACACCCTTCCTCATTTTTTGCCCTCTACAAAATTAGTCTCTCGCACAAAACTCGCGCGGAAAAGGCTATTTTTAAAGTTATTGTCCAGTCACAATAAAGAAGGGACAGCTCGGTATGTTTGAATGATTATCATTAAATGTTGAAACATACCTAGCTGCCACTGTGGTGGCACAAAAATCAATGGAATATTTTAAAAATTATGCAGCCTGAGCCCCATTACGTATAGAACCCAGAAAAATCAATAGAAAGAGATACTCACGTCTGTAAAACATCCGAAGTCTTCAAATAACCACACTTCTTTGTTTGATAAACTGCACTGAATCCTGTTCAAATAAGCTTATGTACTTGCTTCAGTACTATGCCCAACAAAGTCTGGTACAGATATTTTTTATGGAAGTACACTGTCCATGAAAAAAATATGTGTAAGTCTTATATTATTTCATTACCCTGAAGTAGTTTTCGTAGTTAAGTATAACTGTTAGAAAATGAATTGCATTGTGAAATATAAGCCAGCTATTACTTTTGCAGAAATGCACTAACCCTATTAAGAAAAAAGGGCTTGATCTAATGTAAACTCTACTGTGATATAGAAAAATTTTTATAGTTTACTGAACCAGATTTAACAATCAGAAAAGTACCCAAGCACGACATACACGCCTGTTCGGAGTTGGTTTCCGTAAGCTTAACACAGTTAAACAACTTTGAAGTTTGAAGAACAACTATTGCATGCACACATAGAAAAGAATGACACGTACCTTTTGAACAAGCTTGAGGTCTAAACTCCATCAAAGATAAGGGTGAAAATATTTGTTAACAAAAGCTGGACTGCTTCGCACAAAAAACCAGCTTTTATTTTCTTCAGATCTGCGTAGTTTGTTTGTTTGCGCGGGCGGAGAGAGTTTGCAGCCGCGACAATTTCGCGCCAAAAACAGGGTGTCTTTCTTGGATTCAGTCTTCCATCGTCCAATTGTTGAGTCATTGTTTTGCGTCGCTGTCATTACATGGTATATTGATCGATCAAGGAGAAAATGATCCCCTCAAGATAAGACAAAAAAAATCACTTCGAAAAAGTACATATTCTAGAACATTTTCAAAAATAATTATAAAACAGCAATACAATGATTACCCGCCCGTGTTCGGTATTGTCGTATAAATATCTTTAAAACAGTACTCAAATACAGCTTTTTAATTTCCTTTCTTAATATCAGTTTCGACATAAGTGTTTGTAGACGTAATTCATTGCATATTTGCTCTCACCTTTCAGCACTATTCAACTTATTTTCAGCCACTACACTTTTGACTTCATCTTTGACGTGCGTCAAAGGTAAAGTCAAAGTTACCAGCATATTTGACAACGACTTTGATAAGGATTAAAGGAATAGCAAAGCACTGATTCATCTGACTTCATCTTTGACGCGCGTCAAAGGAGAAGTCAAAGTTGTTACCAATTTGACTTCACCTTTACCGAGGTCAAAGGAGTAAGCAAAGAGGTTATATATTTGGCGACATCTTTGACGCGCGTCAAAGGAGAAGTCAAAGCCATTACCATATTTGACTTAACTTTTGACGCGTGTCAAAAGTGCAGTAAATCCAATTTTTCGTCCCGTGTAGTTGATCACGTGATCAACTTTCTGTAAACACGAAAACGGTTCGCTTTTAGAAAATTTAGTTAGCGGGAACTGCGTATTAATGTTAGGTGACCTCAAAAGTAGTGACTGCAATGGCCGCCAAAAACTAGTAGGATTAGTATGGGAAAAAGGACTCTTGCCGCGTACTAATGGTTGAGTAGTTTCCCATACAAATCCTTGAAAATTTCGAAATCTTCAAATGGTCGTAAAATATTTCCTTAAGCATTACGAAGCTCGAATTTTCTTTTTTTCATAACAAATAATTTGAGCCCCTTAATACATAAGGGAAAGACTAAAGGACAGATATTCAAAATTTACAAGGATTTGTGTTGTTTTCCCCATACAAATCCTTCAAATTTTCGGTGTCCATTTCAATCACGACTCTTGAAATATATGGCTAAAAATTCTCAAGTTACTTAGTTTGTAATGTGCTGTTTCTGCTAACAAAATTTTCGAAAAGCGAACTACAGTGTATTTTTGGGTTTAAACAGAAAGTTGATCACGTGACCAACTATTGCAAATGGCCTATCACAAACGTACAAAAGGCCATTGTGAAGCTTGACCTTCACCGAAAACCTCGCTTAGCGTTGCCTTACAGCGTTTAAAGTAAATACCTTCAAACAACTCCAGAATTGTCTCTGAAAGAAAGGCAGAGCACCAGAAGCCTTATTATCCGGTAAACTGCCAAAAATACAAGGGAAGAGGATGAAAACAATGAGTAATGTAATCAACAGCGAAGACTTCCTTCTTCCTTATTGTTAAGACACATTTAGACATCCTTCGTCCTCAAGCGTTTTCTAAAGACCTCATACGATGCTTAGTTGCTCTGCATCCTAAGAGGGAAATCGAGAGTTGTTGGCAGCCTATTACCTCTGGAGCTTGCAGGATCAAAGAAAAATAATAATTTATTACTACCTTTTTGGACACAGAGGAACATATACATCATCGCTAACATATCGCCGCATACGAGTAGTTATTGCGGCAAACAGTGACTGTAGAAGAAAGTATCAACAAGAAATAAATTGAAAGTACTTGCATGGTAAGACAATTAAAATGAAGAAAATCAGCAAATAAAAATTAGAATTA